GATCGATCGAGCGAGACCTATACTGAGATCGATAGTGAGATCGATAGTGAGACCGATCGAGTGAGACGTTGGTTCCTCCCCCCCCCCGAACCTCCTTATCACCCGAAGGGTGGTCGCATAGGTATGGGGACTATCTTTATTTGTGTGTATTTATTTGTGTGTCCTTGGGCCCCTTCATTGAAGCAGGTCATGGGAGGGGCTACCCCTACGGCTGACGACCTCCGCAAGTGAGGCTACCCAGCTCCACCAGAGCGGAAGCTCTGCGGAAGGATGGGCACCACCTTCCACCGCTGCCGGGAAGACCCGTTCACATGCCAGGTGAGAGATGCAGCTTGCCCGCCCAAGGTGGTCCAGGATGCTCTCGCAGCTGGCCCTCGAAGTTCCTTGTTCTCTCGAGCGTGGCGTCCCAAATGTAACGCCCCTGGGCCTGCAGAGGACCGGGAGATGCATTATCGAGATGCTTCTGGGCCATGCAGCGGATTTGAGTTTACCCCTGGCGCAAAATGTTACCCTGATGGCAGTTGCCTTCGCCCTTCCCTGGGGGATGGCCCGTGCGAGCTGGGGCGTTTGTGAGCTTGGTGACCAGGGAAAGTTGCGCCGTGGGCCGTGGGGTTGTCGGACCCGTTCCCACACTTGTTGGGCAAACCTCTGGTGCTGGCGAACGGGCGGCGTTGATGGTAGGAGAGATCCACACTGAAGGGGGGCTGCCTAGGCCCCTCACTGTTGATTACTAGGCTTTGATCAGAGACGGCCTTAACCCCAGGTTGCCCTGTCTCATAGCTCGCTAGGAGCCCACTTTTTCGGGAAAATCGCTATGGACATCCTTGTAGGATGGCTCACGCAATTCAAGACCAAGGCCCACAGGGAGGAACAGCAAGCTGAGAGCTTCGAGGACCTCACAGCCATCAGAGGCAATCAGGCTGCTGATTTGCTGGCTGGCCAGGGTGCCCAGTTGCACGACTCCACTCCCTTGCACACTGAAGAGGTTACCCACGCAGTCAAGCATTAGGATTATATGTGCTCTGCTGTGGCTTCTGTCCTCGTTACGTGGCCAACCCCAGGAGAGATCTTCGGGGAGTTAAATGAGGGGAGTGCGGGGCCGAGGGGGGCTCGAGGTCCAAGAGACTCACGCACCCCTTGTTGGAACGGCGACCACTACAGATGCGAGTTCTGCATGAGAAGAAGCAGTCCGAAAACAGGTTTCGAATGCCAGGGCCATTCGAATCATGTCTTGCGCGCCGTCCTCGGCACTCCTGGATACCACGGCCACAAGCTCCATGTGGCGTGGACGGTCCCTCATGGGACCCGAGCTGTGCTCTGCTCAGCACGTGGAGCATTTGCCACTATGAAGGCCCTGTCTCTGTCCAGGAGATGCACACCCAAAACCCCAGGTCCTAGGAACAGAGGGCCCTCCTCGCCGGCAGGCCCCCGTCAGACCAAGTTCGAACTTGGCACTGCGGCGCCGAATGCCAGGCCCCCCCTCGGCGACCTGGCGCTGAGGCTGCAGCGGGGCGCCGAGGCCGCCAAGGCCTAAGCGCAGAGGAAGGTAAGGGGGTGGAGGGGGCCTCCTGGTTTCCCTTCTCTTGTTCAGGGCTCTGCACAGTAGGGCCCTGGACTTCCCCAGATTATCACCCAGGAGGACTCTGGGGAGGAGGAGGAGGAGGAGGAGGAGGAAGAGGAAGAGGAGGAGGCGGAAGAAGAGGAGGAGGAGGGGGAGGAGGAGGAGGAGAGAGGGAGAAAGGGGAGGAGGAGGAGGAGGAGGAGGAGGAGGAGGAGGAGCTTTTGCGCCCTCGATGTGGCCTTGGTCGTCTGCTGTTTCCCCCCGCGTCCCCCGAGCCGCGCCGCGCGAGAGCGACCGCCGCGGGCGAGACGCGCCCGCCTCTCCAGCGTCTCCGCGGCACGCCCAGGAGGGCGCCGGCATATCCGCGAGGGCTGCCGCCCCGTACCCCCCCCTCTCAGAGAAGCAAGAGCCGGAGGAGGAAATGAGGCATCAGCATGAGGGGGGGTGGACCTTGGATCGCATGTACACACCTATGTATGCTTGCACGTATACATACATGCATACATGCATGCACGTACGCACGCGTGCCTACATACATACATGCATACAAATCGATACACTTGTTTATATATATCTGTGTGGTATACATAATGTTGTATATATGTATATGCATTCACATATGCATACGTACATGCGTAAGCGCACACATGCACATATAGATACAAACATGCATACATATATACAGACATACATACATACAGCCAACCATACATACACGCATACATGCACCTTTGCATACATGCATACATGCATGCATACACATAGACTGACATTCACACAAGCAGACAGATTTACAGCCAGGCAAACACACATACACATGTTCCCGCACACACACACACACACACATACACATACATGCTTATATCCATTTAAAGGTGCACACGTGCATACAAACACGTGTACATACAAATGATATGTATATATATATATATATATATATGCGCATGCATGCATACGTACCCACATACAAACATGCACACACTCAAGCATGCACATATCTAAAAGTACGCACGTCCACACTTGCACTTACATGCATGCATACATAGTTATACCCATACGTGCATGCTTGCATGCATGCCTGCATACTTGAAAACATGCATGCATGCATACATGCATGCATGCATTCATGCATGCATGCATTCATGCATGCATACATGCAGACATGCATACATGCCTACCTGAATACATGCATACATTCGTATATGCATGCATACAAACGTATCGAGCTATATACAGTTCCCCTGCTCTGTATTTCTATCATCTGGGTCCCTGCGCCCCCCCCCCTCTCCCACTAAATGGGACCCCTCTGGATCATCGGCCCCGGGGGCACCCTGGACGCCTTTGCAGACGGTCCCCTGTGCTTTCCGGGGCTCCTGAAGCCCCTGCTGGGCGCAGGCAACGGGCCCAAATCAGTCAGGAGGGCGGCCAGACGGCCCCGCGAGAGCCCACAGAGGCCCCAGACACCCACCAGACGCCCGAGGACGACCCAAATAAGACTCTCAAGAGGCATTCGAAACGCAAATACATTGATTCCTATGGCTTTTTTGCATGATTTGGGGAATTTTCAATTGTTCGGTATTCCGGGCGTCCGAGACTGCCCAGGAGGCCAGAGCATCGCCCCAAATTTAACCAAGAGGTCTTCCAGGCAGTCAAAGAGGAGCCTCAAGACAGCCCAACAGGGCCCCAAGATGGCCCGAAGAGAGCCCCATGGCCCAAGATGGCCCCGAGACGTCTCCCGAATCATTCCAGATCGTGACCCGGTCGTTCAGGGAGACCGTGGTTGGAAGCAGGGTGGCCCGGGGAAGCCCCGAGTGGCCCCCAGAAGGAACCCAGGAGGCTTTCAGAAGGCCCCAGCAAGCCCGTGAAAACCTTCGTGAGACTTACAAGAGGCTATCCTAGGATGAGCCTCCACAAGAAGAGCTGACGATCATGGCGAATTCGCAGGGTAGGGCGAGACTGAGGGAGAGGAAGAGTAAACATGAGGGAAGGATAACGATTAGCATTATTAATTGTAACAACGATGCCAGAAAAAAAGGCAATAACGAGGTGTCGCTAAATGTTTCGGTTTACCGTATTGCCCTGCTGCCTGCATGCCACGCTTGAAGGACCAAAATGCATGGCGCGAAGCGCCAATGCAGTGTTGGATGTACTTACATGTATATACATATATGTGCGTGTATATATATATATATGTAGATGTACACACATACATACATACGTACGTACGTACGTACATACATACATACATACATACATACACCTGGGGACAGGTCTGGTGGCTTCCAGGGCGGCCCCATCGACGCGCCATGGGGGCTCCAGGGCCCCGGGAGCGCGCTGGGATCGCGCCAGGGAGCTGAAGATGCCCCCAGAAGGCACCGAGAGAGCTCCAAGAGCGGTCCACGAGGCCTCGAAAGCAGCCCAAGAGCGCTCCAAGACGCCCAAGAGGGCCCCAAGATGGCGGTCGCGGGGACGTCCCTGGCGGTCAGGTTTGCCCCGCCTTCTTTTTGTTTTCTATATGCGCATTACAGCGCGGGTAACATTTTTTCAATTGTCCCCCAGATAGTTGTTTTGCAACTGTTTCACGACATTTGCAAATTTGCTTCGAGTCAAGTATTGTCCTTAGCTTCTGGGCTTCTTATCCATATGCCCAGACAGACAGTCATCGGGCTGGGAGAATGGGGCTGAGAGAAATGACCGGATCATTCATATTCTCTAGTGTGGGTTTACCACAGTCGTGCCCTGTATCTTCCCAACCCCTTCCTCCCAACACGATAGCTGTCTTTCTCGTATCTGGGCCTCCTAGATGGGTTCGAACTAAATTGGGTCGGAGGATCGTGCCGCATCGCCGTCGCCAGCGCATCGCCGATACATCGGCGATGCATCGCCGATGTATCGGCAATGCGGCGAGATCCTCCGACCCCATCTACTCGGACCCCATCTAGGATTATGGTGGTGAAAAAATCGAACCTTCGCCCCCATCTGGTGACCACCAGGAAAAATCGAGCACCATGAATCGAGCACCATGAAAGTACCGAAACTGGAGGGTTTTCACGTGCTGGGCCCTGGGAGGCGATACTCGTTCGACACCGTTTCGATATTTTCCTGGGTGCTCGGAACTATTTCTGGGGCGTGGTCTGTAAGTACGATGGGAACAGTAAAAAACTCGGAGGCCTCTATCATTAGACTGGGTTCGACGAAGAAAAACCACATGAACACAGACTGTTGGCGCTCCGCGCGGACTTCTTGGATCCGCGCCTGGGCCCCCGGCGGCGCCTCCGGCGCCGCCCTTGGTGCGCCCCGCGCGCCAGGGAGGGGGGTCCAGCGCGAATCCGAGAAGTTCGCGCGGAGCGCCACCAGTTTCTGTTTGTGTCGTCTTCTCTTCTTCTGTTGGTGCAGCGTTCCCCACGCCGCAGCGGCCCTCGCTCGCCCTGTGAGGGAGCGCGGGGGGGCGGATTCGGCTGCGACGGCCACACCGTGATCCACGGGATGCAGCACGAGGCACCGCCGCGCCCGGACCGCCTTCGCTGTCGCCGTCGGGTGCGCTCGCCTCCGTCCCGGGGCGCGCCTGGAGCTTGTCGGCCAGGGGCACAGCTCGATCAGACGTAAGAGTGACCTTTCGCCGGAGTGAGCTTTGGTGCGGGCCCAATGGGGCCCCCCGATCGTTGATCTCGAGGCGGCAGTGGCGTCTTGCGCGCTTGTGTTTGGCCACCCCGCGGCCCCCCAAAGCCGCGCACCAAAGGTCACTCTTACCCAGGGTCACTCTCGCGTGTAGCCGAACAGCTGGGGGGAGTGCGGGGGGCTCGACGACGACGACGACGACGAGGATGACGACGAGGACGACGACGGCGAGGACGACGACGGCGAAGGCGAAGGCGAAGGCGAAGGCGAAGATGACGGCGACGGTGACGGCGACGCCGACGCCGACGCCGACGCCGACGCCGACGCCGACGACGACGACGACGACGCCGACGCTGACGCCGACGCCGACGCCGACGCCGACGCCGACGACGACGCCGACAACGACGACGACGACGCCGACGACGACGACGACGACGACGACGACGACGACGACGACGACGACGACGCCGAGGCTGTCGACGACGACGACGACGACGACGACGACGACGACGACGACGACGACGACGACGACGAGGACGACAACGGCGACGGGCGGCGGCGGCGAAGGCGAAGGCGAAGGCGACGGTGACGGTGACGCCGACGCCGACGCCGACGCCGACGCCGACGCCGACGCCGACGCCGACGCCGACGCCGACGCCGACGACGACGACGACAACGACGACGACGACGACGCCAACGCCGACGACGACGACGACTACGACGACGCCGAGGCTGACGACGACGACGACGACGACGACGACGACGACGACGACGACGACGACGACGACGACGACGGCGACGGCGACGGCGACGACGACGAATACGACGAATACGACGGCGACGGCGACGGCTACGGCGAGGGCGACGATGGCGGCGGCGGCCTCGGCGGCCTCGGCGACAACGAAGACCTCGACGACGACGGCGACGGGGGCGCGCACGCGATCCGCACCGGAAGCACGGGTGCGGGAGGGGGCCCACCCTGCGAGGCTGGGCACATTGCACGTCAGAGGGCGGTGCCGCGTCCTCCCCCCGAGCACGGGACGCCCCCCGTGGAGCAGCAGCCAGGCATGTCAGGGGGAGGCGGGGGAGGGGAGGGGAGGAGGGGCAGGGGTGGGGGGAAGGGGGAAGGGGAGGGGGATGGGGGAGTGGGGTGGCGGATGGGGGAGGGGGAGGGGGAGGAGGAGGAGGAGGAGGAGGAGGAGTAGGAGGAGGAAGGAGGACAGGAGGAGAGGAGGAGGAGGAGGAGGAGGAGGAGGAGGAGGAGGAGGAGGAGGAGGAGGGAGGAGGAGTAGGAGGAGGAGGAGGAGGAGGAGGGAGGAGGAGGAGGAGGAGGAGAGGAGGAGGAGGAGGAGAGGAGGAGGAGGAGGAGGAGGAGGAGGGAGGAGGAGGAGGAGTAGGAGGAGTAGGAGGAGAGGAGGAGGAGGAGGAGGAGGAGGAGGAGGAGGAGGAGGAGAGGAGGAGAGGAGGAGGAGGAGAGGGGAGGAGGAGAGGAGAGGAGGAGAGGAGGAGGAGGAGGAGGAGGGAGGAGGAGGGAGGGGAGAGGAGAGGAGGAGGAGGAAGGAGGAGGTAGGAGGGGAGGAGGGGGAAGAGGAGGAGGGGACGCCCCCCGTGGAGCAGCAGCCAGGCATGTCAGGGGGAGGCGGGGGAGGGGGAGGGGGGAGGGGGGAGGAGGGGGTAGGGGTGGGGGATGGGGGAAGGGGAGGTGGAGGGGGGAGGGGAGGGGGGAGGAAGAGGAGAGGAGGAGGAGGAGGAGGAGGAGGAGGAGGAGGAGGAGGAGGAGGAGGAGGAGGAGGGAGGAGGAGGAGGAGGAGGAGGAGGAGGAGGAGGGAGGGAGGGAGGGAGGGGGAGGGAGGGAGGGATGGGAGGGCGGGAGGGAGGGAGGGAGGGAGGGAGGGAGGGAGGGAGGGAGGGAGGGAGGGGGAGGAGGAGGAGGGAGGAGGAGGAGGAGGAGGGAGGAGGAGGAGGAGGGGGAGGAGGGGGGAAGTGAGAGTTCGAGCGTGCGTAAAACGTAAGGTTTCAGGGAGTAAGTGCCTGGTGAGGGGGAAGGGCCTTCTCCCGCTCTCTGTCCCTTTCCCCCTCTCCGCGGCCCCCTTTGGGGCTCAAGTTTTTCCTCGGGCCCTTGAGGGGGGCGACTCGCGCGGGGAGCGCGACCCGCCCCGCGGACCGAGGTCCGCACAGGGGCCGAGGGCCATGTGGAGGTGAGGCGGGAGGAGGTGCGCCACGCCAGCCCAGCGCACACGAGGCGCTGTCAGTCGGAAGAAGCACACCAGCTCCCACATGATGGCGTTGCTGCCCATGCTCATCGGGGCCGTGGCAGCTGTCGAGATCGGCCGCAGGTGGCGGGCGCAGCCGGCGACGCCGGCATTGCCCCCCGCGGCCCGCACCGCGGACATGTCGCTGCCCGCGGAGGCCGAGCTGGCCAATGGAGGGGCGTACGCGCCTCTGCTGCGGGCGCTGGAGGAGGACCAGCGGCGCCGTGGCATGGCGGCGGCGACGGAGTTGCCGCAGCGCCAGCCCCCCCCCCCAGCTGGGCCCGCCCCCGCTGCCGGGAAGGGGAGAGGAGGGCCCTCGGGGCCAGCGGCAGTCCTGCCCACGGGAGGCAAGGGGCGCCAGCAGCCGCCGACGGCGTCTGCATCAGGCCAGCCACACCTGGAGACACCGCCATCAGCCTCCGGCGACGGAGGTGAGGAGGGCTCACGGCGCCGCAGCGGCGGGGTGTGGAGCTGGTTCGGGAGTCGTCGGCGGGACCCCCCGCTGCGGCGAAGTCCTGAGAGCGCGGGCGGCTCGGAGGAGGCGGAGGAGGAGATGCGAGGCTGGTTCAGCTTCGGAGGGGTCAAGTTCGGAGTGAGCTGGCTCGGAGGTTGGATTACTGACCTGCCGCCGACGGAGATACAGTGGTCTGATCTGATGTGGGGCGGAGGTGGCCTCGTTGGAAGCGGCCTCAACACGGTGGGGTACGCGGCGTTCGGCACGGGTTGGCCCTTGCTGTGCTGGACCACTTTCGCAGGGTTGATCGTGGCGTTGGTCATCGGCTTGGGGTATGGTCTTCACTCCATCGCCTCGGCAGTTGACGTGTTGGTCTGCGCACCCCTCCGCTGCCTGGGTCGGGCGTTGGGATTTTGCTGCCCAACCGCGAAGCCGCAGGTCACGGCCGCTGAGGAAGGAGTGGTCCCAGAGCTGAGAGGGCCAGCCACCGCCATTGCCGTGGAGAACGAGTTCTACGCCCAGCTTCGCGCAAAAGGGGCCGACAAGGTGCCGCATCACCTGATCATCAAGGTGGGCGACACCGCCGCGAGGCTGGAGAGACCACCTTTGAATACTGGGATTAAGTATAAGAAGGCAGGAGTGGCGTGGCCGTACCGCGAGGTGCTTGCTACCACGTCGAGGCGACTGCGCGACCTGCTGGAGGACTCCCAGGACAAGGTGGTGCACCTGTGTAGGGACACGCCCTGCACGGACGAAGGTAACTACGCCGTGCATGCCCCGGCGTACGGGTACGTGACAGCTGAGACGGACACCAACCTGGAGGCGCTGGTGGAGGCGGCGCCGAAGCCTTGTTGGGCAGGTCGGGCGGTGGGGGCAGCGGCTGCATCGTGTGGGCGGGGCTGTGCCGCCTTGGGGCTAAAGGGTTGTGCCAGGCTATGCGGGTCCCTCAAGCGTTGCGGCCAGAGGGGTTGCCAGCGCGGCCGGCGAAGCAGAGCAGACATCCCCGCCGCCCTGTTGAAAGACCCGAACTCGGAGACGGAGTCGGAGCCGGAGCACCAGCGCTGCATGGCCAACGAGGTGCTGTACCAGGAGGGTGACACGATCTTCCAGCTTTGCAAGGAGAAGTGTCGAGACCGAGCCCGAGGTGCCCCAGTCCGCCTGGTCAAGGAGGATGGCGAGAAGTCGAATGTCAAGGGGGCGGAGAAGGTGGTCAACTTGTGCTGGCAGCACACGAACGCCTACGAGCGCGAGAGAGGCGTGAAGAAGTGTGCGCACCTGGGCTGCCACGCGTTGGGTCGGGTTCTGAACCGTGGGGTGCTGACGTGTTTGGAGCACGACTTGGCGAATGAGGAGGCCGTACGACTTGTCGCCGTTGCTGAGGGACCGGCGCCTGTGGTGGCCGGAATGGCATCCGAGCAGCCCACGCGGTACAGGCCGAGGTCCCCTACGCCGACGGCTGGGAGACCACTCCTACCCCTGGTGTCGGCCAGTGGGGCATGGCTAACGGCCCTGGTGCGAGGCCCACGGGGTACGGAGATGGCGAAGAAGTACTATTGCTACGGGTGCCAGCTGGCGGTTGAGGAGGAGGGCTGGACTACGTATCGTATCCCAGGGCTCGAAGCCCAGGCGACAGTCCCATCCAACCTGGGGCCGGTGATCGACGACCGGGTGCGTGCCGAGGCTGCCACAGCTGGAGCGCCCGCCATCATCGTGCGGACGGCGAACCAGATACCCGACGGAATGGATGAGTACGGCCAGACAGCTAGCCCGGTGGCTCAGGCGCTGGCGCGGGGCGCGACGGGGAGGGAGGACCATCCCCTGTGCATTCTGACGCGGGGGGTCGAGGAGGCAGGAGTGCGAGATGAAGGATACGCTCGGAGGTACCCGCCCTCGACTTCCCCGACATACCCAACGCAGCCACCGTGGGTGGACACGATCACTCGAGGAGAGCTGGGGGGCCTACTGAATGGGGCGGCCCGGGAGCGCTGGCGTCGACGAGGGGAGACGGCCCTGGCGCTGGAGCTCCTGAAGGCAAGGGCCAGTGGAGAGGATCACCCGCTGGACGTGGCCGAGAGATTACAGCACTCCGAGGGTTTCGATGACCTGGGAGAGGCGTGCGACGCGATCGTCGAGTCGCTCGAAGCCTTGGAGAGGGACCGCGGCTCCTTCATGAC